TATCAAAGGGAAGTAGACTACTGGTTCTTCCCAGAACTTCTTGTTTTATCAGTTGCAGTCTATGTTTCGCTGAAATTGTGCATACGAAGAGCCCGCGCCTAGGCAAAGCAAACTGTATGAGTCTCCATAGGGATCTTCATCCTGTACAGTATGCAGTACGCGCTTTCCATCGATCAGGACGGTTTTACATGCCTGTAGCGTTTCTGTTCCAGTGATAAGGGAAATGGCCGTGTAGTCTGGTAGAAACTTATATGTGTTTCGGAGAAATTTACTGCCTGTAACTTGGGGATCAAGGAATAAGATAAGTAATTAGTAAGCAGAACTTTTGTTTGGCTTACTATTCGACCCTGAACATGCAGGGTATATTCCTCCGAAACGTCGGTGAAGTTGTGCGGGAGTACACGGCGTCATATGCCAGAACTTAGTGTTAAGTTGATATCTTTGCAGGACGCAAATGTGATTGGAAGATTTCCTTTCGCTTGCAAGACTATCGCATGGGTACCAATATCTTGAGTTGTCTTTGTTCTCCTCTTATGGAGTCACAATTAACCCTGGGACAGGAAACGATACATCACCGGCCGGAGTGACACATCCCTTGTGTCCCTGCATCTGGAGGGATGAGGGATCAGAATACGGCGGTTTCTGGAGGCAGCTGCCGCGGTAGACTTTCTCGAAAAGAAATAGTGCTCTGCCTTTTTAGAGCTTCAGGATGTGTCCCACACGCGAATGTTTTCCAAACAGCGGTCTCTGACACTTCAGCTTCTTTACGTCGCAGGAAGGGGTGTCCCTCAAACAGTGCTCCGCGAACCCTCGTGTGGCTTGGGCGCCTTCACGATTTTTCCAAAGAGAATTTTCTTGCAGACTTACGTGTAAGCTGTTTAAGAATAATTTTACCTGTCGCCATACCTGCTCAGGGTACAAGAATAATTAAAATAATAATAATAATATTGGTATCAATATGCGCTAAACTTCCTTCCTTTTTGTGTTTTGATTTTGTTTCTCAAATATCGCGGGGGCGGGGGCTGGGGCAGGTGAATGGTTTCTCTGCCGGTGTCAGCGGAAAAAGGAAAGAAAGAGATAGGCAGCAAAGAGAACAAAAAGAAATGGAGAACGAAAATAAGAAGAGAGATACACAAGCGAAGGAGAAAAACAAGACCGCCTCTGAGGTCTAGTGGTCAGCGTTCTTGGCTACAGATCCAGAGGTCCGGGTTCAATTCTCTGCACTACCACATTTTTTCTGAAAAGTAGTGGTTCTGGAACGGGGTCCACTCAGCCTCGTGATGATAATTGAGGAGTTATTTCAAGGAAATAGCGGCTCTGGTCTAGAAAACTGAAATTAACGGCCGTGGGGATTCGTTGCGCTGACCACGTTACATCCTCTATCCGCTAAAGTTGGCACTAACTTCGCCGACAAGCGGCGGTTGCTCGGTCGGTATAGTTCGCTTGCGGACTAATTTCACGGAGTTTGTTTTGTTTTTTGTTTGTTTGAGAGAACGGTGAAACAAATAAAGAATGAAGGAAAATAAAATAAAGTAGGATATGCTACAAATAAAAAACGAAGAACGAGAAGGAAAGAAGTTTTAAGAAAATAAAAAGCATAATTTAATTAGCTCGGTCAGTGATTACGACTAAGGTTATTTCACATTTATCCTCTCCCTCTTGCATGACACAAGCCCGCACAGCCCATCCTCTTAGATTCGATTATTCTGATGATGCTTGTCGAATGTCGCGCTTCTGTAATCCATTTCACAGATTTATGTCAAAGGATTGAGTTCTATATGTCGGGAGGTCGTGGGTTAGATTCCCTATAAGGTCATTGTATTTTTTTCAATTGACCTAATCCTTCCAGCCGCACTATGGCCCTGAGTTCGACTCAGCCTCTTACAGAAATGAATACCAGGAATATTCTTGTGGGTAAAGGGCGGCCGGCGCGTAAGGCTGACAAATTTACCGCCATCTGTGGACCGAATGTTTAGAGAAAATGTGGGAGCCTCGACGTCTCACAACCTAAGCCTCCACGGTTACAGTGATAGCTTTACCTTTGTATTTGAGTTAGCATTGTATCATATATAAATACACTCATAGTAATTTGAGTTTTTTCTGTGTTCGTTTAATGGGACTCACCATAAAACTACTGGTTTCCAGTGAAGTGAAAGCTCTTTCTTGTGTTTCTGAAACTTGGATAATTTCCACTCCGTGTTGAACCTCCTTGGATGCCAGGCCCACATACAAGATAATGTCTCAAGTGAATGCAAACACATGGAAGCGATGAAGCGTTAATTTGTAGCTATAAGCTAGTTGCAGTATATTCAGAGAAGAATATATGAAGACTGTTTCATTTCACATTTCTTAGTCTACATTGTGAGGCTTTTAAGAAATATAAACATTCGTAGAAATGTGTATTGATTAGTTATCAGTTTCTGTACATGTCAAATAACCTCAAAGTTGTAAGATTTGAGGTTTTCACGGCGGTGATTATGAAGAATGCCGTCTTCTGGGACGTAGAACCATGTAGCTCTTGCGTGAACCGACGTTTCGGAGGAACGTATCGCCTCCATCTTCAAAGTAAAAAAATCCGCTTACCTGCTCACGCTGGTTCTTGCTCGCGGATTTTTCTACCCTGAATATAGAGGCGATACTTTCCTCCGAAACGTCGGTTCACACAAGATCTAAACGGCGCTACGTCCCAGAAGACGGCATTCTTCTACCTCAAAATTCCTCGGTGTGTTCATAGCTATAATTATTGTCTTGTGTTATTTTGTAGCCATTTGTGTACTGTATTTTGCTTGTGACACCGTGATTACTGGACAGGCTGCGTAGTGAACGTTTATATCAATAACTGACGGATAGCACAAGTTAAGAAGCTCCTCGCTCTGTAGCGTTCTCCCATCCCCCTATTATTGCACCCCTCCCACGTCCAAATATTCTCCTCAGCACCCTGTTTACAAACACCCTCAGTCTGTTTCCTTCCCATTAATTTGAGAAACCAAGATTCATACAAAGCTACAGTTTAATTTACAATTAGATATATATATATACAGTATATAGGGGGCACGCAGTAGCGTAGTTGGTTGAGGGGCTATGCTACAAGCCGAAAGGTCGCAGGTTCAAGTCCCGATGAGGTCACTGGATTTTTTTCAATTGACCTAATCCTTCCAGCCGCTCCATAGCCCTGGGCTCGACTCAGCCTCTAACAGAAATGAATACCAGAAATTAATTAAATAATTTCCTGGGAGTAAAGCGCGGCCGGCGCGTAAGGCTGACATCCTTACCGCCATATTTGAGCCGATTGTCTAGATAATGTGGTACCCTCAGCGTCTCACAACCCTATGGGCCTTCACGGCCTTTTACATGGATAGCTTTACTTGCTTCCATATATATTAATCTTTATATGTTTCGACAGAAAAGCTTCTGGACTGAATGGTGGTCAGTATTATCGGAATTTATGCTCCTCGTAATTTCCCCATGAATATAATTAAGATTTGTTATTGTCGTTCCCAAAATTTTAAGTTTTTTTTTCACATTTTGGAAATATATATATTAGCCGTCTTTATGCTTTTGGTGACGAGACATGAACATACAATTGCTCAACTGACTTTCGTAGTAGTTCAAACAAACGAGTTGTTGATCTAGTGCAGGGGACCTGCGTGTGATATGTGAATGTCCCTTCACAAACTGAGCAGTGCCTCCTATTGCTGCTGCTTAGCTGGCCCTGTGAATGGAAAATAAAATTGGATTCATGCCTGTATATATTTAGGTTGAGTGGGCGTTTTGGCAAGTGGATATATAGCGCTAGTGGATAACCGAGCTCTTACGAGAGACATTTAGAAGGAGATTCGGCAAAAACAAAAAGAGGGAGTCAGGAAGATGGAAACTGGAGGGGAGAAAGAAAATGGACCACAGAAGAGAATGGAATGAAAGAAATTGGATGATAAAATTGCCACAGAACTTGCTCGATGTGTTCTATATTTAAAGATATATGTTCTTCTGATGTTTACATTTATATTAGTATTTTAAATTTATGTGCATAGTTCGCAGTTATTTTTTTAATCGTACTTCCGGTATATTTATTCACCTGTTATTTGCCTCTGAGTGCAAGATTGCAGGAAACAGATATGAACGATGCTTATTTCACTTCTGCGTCTCTGGCCGTTCGGGAGCACTGAAATCACACAATATAAGAACACAGCATTTTCCTGTGAGTTTAATCCCATTGACATCTTTCGATCTAGCGGATTAGCATAGCGGTAACCCTCTACACTCATATTCGGGACGTGCTTGGTTCGAACCTCGGTCAGGATACCACCTTTCCTGACTGAACATTTCTTTGTTTTCTTCAGGATCCCCAGGTAAATGCCACAACCGCCTCCCTCCAAATGCTTTCTTAGTTACCATTCATCTATTATGCTATCATTCGGTACTGTATACTCAGAAACGCTAAATATCCCACGAACAGAGTAATCTCGCGGTAAAATTTCGACCTGTTTCCGTTGAAAGTATCAAAACTGTCCCATCTTCCTGCGTGATTACCCTTTGGTCTGTACTGATACAGCAGATTCGGGCTCAGGCGTTCTTCACAGATATTCTATCCGGTTTTTACTACAGTTCCTGTTGCTGTGTTGATACCTGTCATCCTCAGTTGTTCCCCAGTATCTCCATTTTGTTTATCATCCGCCATTTTGTATCCCTCGACTGCTGTGAGGCTACGCACCGCTGCTCTCTCCACGATTCTCTTTGGTTCCTTATAAAAATGAAGGTTATGTACTCGTTGAAACTCTTAAATATAACTGTGGCAACAGTGTACAGATACAAAAAAAAACCTTGCGATACATATATATATATATATATATATTATTTATTATACTGCAATTGGGTTTTAGCCCGGTGGCAGTAGTACACAATAGGACACAACAGACAAGTAACACACATTACACTAAGTGAGAACACGTTCAAACAAAACACAATACACAAAACACAACAATAACGACATCCTACCACAGTGAATACAAACCAAATACGATTAACAACTACAACAATTACAGAGAAATACAAACAACTGCAACAAATATATGAAGAAGCACAGATACAATACGGGTCTAAATGCCTGTCAATCCGAATAGTGTCAGAGCCATCTGCTGTTAAGATAGCCAACTACTAGAGTAATTACTTCTTGAGATGCTGGATTATAGGGGAATATGCTCCTTCCATCTTCAGGGTGGGAGAGGAAGCCAGATCTAACAGACTGCACGGTGTCACATCCCAGAAGACATAAATCTCCATAGTCATTACAGTGAGAACTTCGAATATCTCTCTCAATGTATAGTTATGTGTTTTTTGTAACACCATATTGCTGCTCATTCATGTGCGATGTTTGCTTTGTAGGCATTTGCAAGTCACATGACCTCGGAGACACAGAAGCAGCTGGAACTGCAGAGGTTTCAGGAAGAGCACCTGAAACGACAACAGGAATACATTCAGCAGCAACACCACAAAATTCAGGAACTTCAGGTAGACAAAAGGACCTAGGCATTAATGCATGAGAAGTTTGCCTAGTGCCAGGGAAAAACCTTGGCTCAAATAATAGCTCTTCTGATTTGTACAATATTCAGAAGGCTCAGATGAGACTCAGTATACTGATTGAAGTTTTTCGTGTACACTCTGAGCTACTGACGACGTCATTAATAGACCATGGATTATTCAATGATTATAAATAAGTGAAGGAATATAAAGATAACATTTAAATTCATAAGTTCCTCTTGTGTGAGTATAAATTCTCACTTTTAAGAATTGTTTAAGAATTAGCCTTTAAGTTTGGGTTGTTTTTCTGTTTCAGTCCCAGATCACATCACACTGCAGCCCCAATAAAGGGCTTAATATCCCCAACCCCCAGTCATTAATGTTCCTCCCTTTCCTGGAACAGCTACGGGGGATGCCGCCAGCACCCGGAGGTGTATCGGTCAACTTACCTCAACTGTCACATACCGCACCGCCTGTCAGCAAAGCTGTAGCCACATCTCTGCCGAGCAGTGTGAGTATCTGTGCCACAGTATCGCTCTTCACACCAAGCACAACACATCACTAGTGAGTTAAAATCTTTTTGGTGAATTTGAAATTCAGTGTTGCAAAAAAATGTGCCCATTTATTCATGTGTAACGATTTCAGAATCACAGGATTACTGGGGTTTTTGACTTTTTCCATCGTCCGGAATTTTAGGTAATAGAGGACACGACGTTTCGGAAACTGGATCTGTTTCCGTCTTCCTTTTCTCACCTGAAGACGGAAACAGATCCAGTTTCTGAAACGCCGTGTTCTTCATTACCTAAAATTCCGGATGATGGAAAAAGTCCGAAAACCCCAGTAATTCTGTGTGTCATCCACCATCATCAGAACCCTTTAGAATCGATTTGAGAACCGTTGCATAAAGTTTCGTGAAATATGATATCAGGGAATTTTAATGAAAATTTTGTCTGCTCATTTCAGTTTTTGGTTAATTTTCAGTGGAGTGGGGATTCACTGTGCTCTTAGTATATAGACTACATAGTATCAAATGGCAGGATGATATACTCGTATAAACGTTGAATTGAATGGATCTGGAAGGAGGTGATTGTGATAAAATTGACGCAGTATTCCAGAACTTTCTCGGAGGGACTTAGGAAAATTACAGAAAACACCAGTCAGAATAGCTGGTGTCCCAGCCATGATTTTAACCAAGCACCTCCCAAATACAGACCGCCTCTATGGTCTAGTGGTCAGAGTACCTGGCTATAGATCCAGGGGTCCGGGTTCGATTCCCGACACTACCAAATTTTCTGAGAGTGGGTCTGGAACGGGGTCCACTCAGTCTCGTGAGGACAATTGAGGCGCTACTTGAATGGAAAAGTAGCGGCTTCGGTTTAGAAAACCGAAATTAACGGCCGTTGGAATTCGTTGCGCTGACCATGCGACACCCTCTATCTGCAAAAGTTGGCACTAACTTCGCCGACAAGCGGTGATCGGTATAGTTCACTTGCGGACTACAGGCCACGGAGTTTGTTTTTTGTTTCTCCCAAATACAAGTCCAGATTGTTGCAGCGAAGACAATCCGTTAGGTCCAGTTTGTGGATAATATTAAACAACAATAATAGACAGTTTAGGTAAAGACCTACGCTGGTTTCTGAGGATCTCTCTACCGTAACTCGCAAAGTGAAAGAATATTTCAGTCAGATGCTGTGTACAAAACGAAAGATACATTTCCATGTAGATTCTAAAGAGTTCTGACGATGTGTATGAGAAGAAAAGTTGTCCCTGTGCGTAAAAAATTAAGCAGTACGCAATGAAGACGTAAGGGGGAGTGGATGTATAGATCCACATTTTCTTGACTTCGGCTGTAGTTGGAGGTGAGTGGTCAGCTTCACGCTCCAGCCGCTTTAACCTTGGGAAAGAGCCCCCAATACCCATTGTATTGGAGGTGGGTGAACCCCAGAGTCGGCTTGGAAAATTGGAGAAGTGAAAATTCTTGACCTTACCGGGCCTTACCTTACCCCTCGGTCGTCCAGCCCGTAGCCAGTCGCTATACCGACTGAGCTATCCCGGTTCCCTGACGATGTATGTAACATTCAGAACTGCTGCGTTTTTAGACGTTATCTGGCATCTGGTATTCTAAAAACTAGAAAACACGTTTCGGAAAGTGGATGTGTTTCCGTCCACAGTTGAGGGGGGGGCACATACTCTGTTGGGGTGCCCCTTTGAAAGAGCTAACCACAATCACTGGAGAAGCCATGTCAGCGTAACTACAGCTATGTAAATACCTGAGCCCAGGCAATGTCGAAGGGAGATAACAGGAAAATGTGTGTTCTTTAAGTTTTAGAATACTGGACGGAGCACAGAGATCAACTGCCCAGTAATTCCGAGCAATGCATTTTCTGTCCAGTGCACTTTTGTAAACCTTGCGATTTTTTGAGGCAGTTAAACAGAAGAGGGAGTGCGCCAGAACTGTGGAACAGTGCATGCATTTTCTAACTGGACGAGCTCTAAATTACCAGATTTGAGATTCTTATGGTAAAACAAGTAAAGATATTCCTGTAATAGGCCGTGAAGGCCATAGGGTTATGAGACGTCGAGGCTCCCACATTATCTAGACAATCGGCTCAAAGATGGCGGTAAGGTTACGCGCCGGCCGCGCTTTACTCCCAAGGAAAATTATTTAAATAATCCCTTGCACTCATTTCTGTTAGAGGCTGAGTCGATCCTAGGGCCGTAGTGCGGCTGGAAGGATTAGGTAAATTGAAAAAAAATCCAGTGACCTCATTGAGACTTGAACCCACGGCCTGCCGGCTTGTAGCATAGTGCTTCAACCAACTACCCTATGGTAGTGACTACATATATTTCAGTATTCTGGGTTATTACACTACGTGCTCTGGTAAGCTGATACGAATGCATCATTTACTATCCTGAAGATGGAGGCAGCGATTTTCTTCAAAACATCGGCAACGATCTCCCAGACTACATGGCATCATTTATAAGATATTGTGATGTGACGACTGAAAGCCAGAATAGTGGAGCCGGAGCAGACGTCCGTTCCTAAGCAACGACTTGGAAATCACTTTTCTGCTACAACAAATAACAGCGAAAAAGTCGTTACCAAGTAACAAGTTGCTAAATACAAAATTAACTTGATAACCAATAGTAAAACAGAAGACAATTATCTGTTCGATGCGGGGTCTTCTATGTGGATCACTTGGAAGTTATAAAAGGCAGTGGATTCCTGAATTCAGGGAGTAGAGAAATCAAAGTAGCAGTAGAGCTCAGCCTGGGATTAGTGAGAGATTCGTCAGACAGACGTCGTACAGAAGGATTTCAATGTGTGAGCTGTTATAATCATCTGTAGTTGTAAACAAGTGCCGGTAAACCCTATCATGATATCCAGAACCCATTGTTATTCGTCACGCTAACCTTTTATGCCTGACAATGTTAATCTTCATAGTCACAACCATGAGAGACTAAAATCTTGCTCTGTAACCCTAGAGAATTCATGATGATGATGATTGTTCCTTACAGCTGATCCCCCATCAGAGCTGGGTATCCGGACACATGCCCACAAGTGCCACAGGATCTACAGACAAGTCATCACCCCCACCATTTCATCCCCCGGCAGCATCTTCTTCATCACCACCATTACCCCCGGCAGATCCTGATGCGCCGCTAAACCTCACCAAGCCCAAGGGAGGCTCTGGGACCAATCTTCATAGCCTCCCCTTGGGGCTCCACAGCCTGGGTGAGCAACCAGCAGCAGCTACCACGCCCAAACTCTTACCCCCAAGTCTCGTGATGCCAAGGGCTTTCCTTCCGTATGGTGCTGTCCTGCCGGCACATCTCAGCCCACTGCCCCCCTCAGCAGGTGAGTTCACTCAGTGACAGTGGCTCCGAAGGGTCCCAGGCAGTGCCTGTTCACCCTTCCGGTAAAGGTAGGTTGGAGAGAAGGTAAAGTGACGGGAAGTGGACTGTTTTGTGGTTGTGAAGGAAAGGAGGGAGGTTGAGCAGGGTCGTGGATAAATATAGTTGATCTGCGTGATACAGAAAAGTCAGTGTTTAAATCACAGAAAGCACACTTAGTATCTACTGCAGATATAAATATAAAGGTAATTGCCCTGTTGATGTTCAGAAAAATTATCCAAGCTTTTAGGTCGTTTTTGTGATGAATATCAAGATTTTATTCATCTGTGATATGGAGTTGTGTAGCCTTATATGTAGGTACATATGGTTTGAAGGTTTAAAGAAACCTGCTACCTTCAGCTTTAAGGTAGAAGTGTCTGTCCTGAAGATGGATAAAGCATGTTTCTCAAAACCTTGGTGATCATGTACAGTGCTACACGGTAACTCAAACTTGAAGAATTNTTAACAAGATGGCCGACAACCATATGTCGTTTTGCCAGCGTGCTGTCATCGAATTTCTTGTGCAAGAGGAAATCCCTGCTGCAGAAATTCTCCAGAGACTTCAGCGTGCTTATGGAAGTGTGTGCATGGGTGCGAGCAGTGTTCAAAGATGGGTGAAAAATTTTAAAGATAGAAACACCAGCATCGAAGATGAGCCTCGGAGTGGTCGTCCTCGAACAGCCTCAACTGAAGGCAACAAGGAAAGATTGGATAAGATCATTCAAGATGACAGGTGTGTGACTGTGGACACAGTAGCCTGAAAACTCGGAATAGAGCACAGTGCAGTACAGTAGATGATTGAAAGCTTGGGCTACAGGAAAGTTTGTGCTCGTTGGGTCCCGCGGTTATTGACCGAAGACCACAAAGTCAGCGAAAAGCCATCGCCTCAGAACTGCTGCAGAGATATCGACACGAAGGCGATGATTTTTTGCTCTGTATTGTGACAGGTGACGAAAGCTGGTTTCACCATTTCGAGCCTGTAACGAAAGAGCAGAGTATGGAATGGCACCATTCGCATTCTCCATCAAAAAAGAAGGCAATGACAATGCCATCAGCTGCGAAGGTGATGGGCACAGTCTTCTGGGTTTATTCTGGCCGAATTTCTGGAACCTGGGCAAACCATCAATGCTGCTCATTATGTCTAGACGCTGCACAAGATCTGTCGTGCATTGCGCGATAAACATCCGGGATGAAAAATCATCATCCTGCATGACAACGCTCTCACCCCCACGCTGCTGGCCTCACAGTGGAAGCAATTGCAAAGATGGAGTGGGAAGTTCTTCCACACCCTTCCTATAGCCCTGATCTGGCACCCACCGACTACCATCTTTTCGGATTTGTGAAGGATCTGCTTCGTGGACAACATTTTGAGATAAGGGAGACAATTCAGAAAGCAGTGCGTCAGTGTCTTCGAGTGACTGGAATGGAATTTTACAGACGGGGAATTTTCAAACTCCCAGAACGCTGGGAGAAATGTGTACAAAGAAGTGGTGATTATGTGGAAAAATAAAGAAAGGTCTGTAGATTGAGATGGTGTATTTGGTTTGTCAATAATAAAGTATGTTACTTTACAAAAAATTGTTGCTCATGACTTTCAGTACGACCCTCGTATATTGCTAATATTCTTTGAAGTTGAAAATGTTTAAAATAAAATGTGTAGAGGAAAATGGAACATAACATTTATATCCAGTACACTTGTTCCACAAATTTTCAAGATTTAATGTAACTGAAATGCATGTTATTAGTACACTTTCAAACTTTCCTATTCAACAAACAGCCATGGTCTTCAAAACACAGTTGCTGTTATGAAAAATGGAAAACAAAATATAAACGTTACAGAGTTTGGTCTGTGATAAAATCTATTTTCTTATGTAGTGCATTGTTACAATATGACATAAAGCATATTATTAAACAAGTTACATAGGGTTTACTTATTTTTTTTTCAGTGACAGTGAACTTTTAATTCTTAATACAGCCTGTTTATTCATTCAGTATATATATTCTCACAGTTCTTAGTGTCATAACCTAAGACTGAAGAGTTGCATGTGAATTTAAAATTTGTTTATTGTAAGAGAAGAGTTCATTGTGGTCTCAGTCATTTCGTTTATAATTCATTCTGCCAAATGCACGTGTCAGGTACGCATTCTGCACTTTTACACTTATATATATATGGGGGTGAGCTCTTTATAATTTTTACATTTTTGGGTTTTGTTGTTTTTCGAGAGGTGATAATTTGCCATATTTCTCTATTCTCTTCATGTGGAATTAATATAAATGCAGACATTGTACCAGAGTTGCATTGGCTTTTTTCAGACAGCTTAGTACGTATTTACGTATTCCATGAGGTTTGTATACTTCATCATGAAACTGGTGTGATATATGTAAGTTTCTGTAGTCTGTGTCTACACTACACTACAGTGAGGATCACAGTTGAGGGCTTATGTTACAGGTAAGCTGGGACTGCCATCAAGCCCTGGTATGACACAGGGTAAAGAGGGACTCATCTCACCTGAGAAGCATCACCCACACTTTCCTTTACATATGTATGCACTTCCGGGCTCGCATCTCACTTCCTCAAAATCTCATCGAGATGAACCTTTGTTTAGCTCCAGCAAAGATGAAGCTGATTTAGTCACATGTCCAAGTAAGTAAAAGATACCTCTGGAAAGGAAATTGATGCAGTTAGTCAAACTGGAGCAAGAATATATTAACTATTTTTAAATCTGTTATTAATATTGATGATTCTACAAGGCTTTTGTCTGTAATGAATTGTAATAGCAGTAAGTTTGTACACTAGAATTTCTGTGAGCAGTCTTTTAACAACATGGAAACCACTAGAGAATCAAGACTCTCTGTGCTTGTGGAAGTTAATCTTCTAGAAACAGATTAATACCTGTTTCTTTTAGCTTCTTTATATTTGTATAAGAGTTGGTGGGCATGAACAATGAACAATTCTTGTTCCATTTGAGGCACTGTCTTCTGGGATGTAATGACTTGTATCCAGGTAGAAGTTTACCCGGGCTCCATGGTGTTACATCCCTCCATTGCAATCTTTCTTTTTCGATTTCTTTCCGCTTCTCTCTTCTTTGTTTCATTTTCCAGCATCTGACTGAACCATCTTTTCTTTTTTTGGTTGTTCTACAGGCCTCTTTCTTTAAAATTTTATTTGTAATGCCCATCTCTGCATTCTTCTTCTTTTTCCATCCATCCTTTTTGCATGATCAGACAAAATCAAAACAGTGAAAAGCCTCACAAAGGAGACAAATGAATATAAGAAGAGTTTTATCTTCTGAGATATAGTGACATGTTGTCCAGTGAAAATCAACCAGCATTCCTCTGAAACATCAGTTGACTTTCACTTTACTACATGGCATAGTACATACACATGTACGTTTGTACATGTACGTGTATGCAAGTATGTGGTTTGGGATATGTAAATCTAAAAAAATGGTTCTCTGGAAACATGTTTAAGTCATTAGTTTTCCACTCAGAGTTGCTTTGTGGACCAGTGGATTTGAGCAGTAAACTTAAGATAAACTTTAATGGGTTGAATTTAAATCTGAGTTTATTGACCTGGAATCATTGAAATTCAATGTTAAATAAGAGAAAATATTAAACTGAGGAAAATTAAATGGGTTTTTGCCATATTAAAATATATCAGAGTTTACATATTTAAGTCAATGTGTTCAAGCAGCTCACAGATAATATGGTTTATAATTGGTTTCTGTGAGCCTGAATGTGTTCAAAATTGCTTACAGTGTGGGGACCTGATCCAGCGTACAAAATGCCAGAAGAAAATAATGAGAAAGGTGAGTTTTCTAATAATTGTATGAGTAAGTGAAATCAAATTCTTTGTCATGAAAATTATTTTTAAGACATATCTTTGTAGAATGAAATGGACAACTGATTTTGTCATTTCATATTTTAATTGTTTTATTTCTTTTGAAGATCGTTAAGCTTTTGATTACTATTTAATTTGTGCCTAAAATCATGTATTTTACTGGTGTAGTCCTAAAATTAAAAGTGTCGTAGTGATTGGGATACCAGTTATGGGATGAAAGAAATGGGCGTGAATAATAATAGGAAGCCATTCATGTTGTTATTCAGTGACAATATTAGACATTTAAATGCAGAAATGAATGACAAAGATCTCATGAAATGCACAATCTTAAAAAGAGATTGATGGTTCCACCTCAGCCAGAGAGCTTAGAAATTAGATAAGTTATAAGTTATTTGTGTTTGACAGTACTGTCTTTGGTGCAAGGCTATGTCAAAGCACCCAAGAAAGCACCAGGGTACCACCCTGGATCACCTTCACTCAACAACAGCCATGGAATGTTTTATGTAAATCCTTAATTGTAACATTTCATTAAGACATTTAAGGCAGTGATTGTTCAGAATGTGGTCTTCTTTGTTTAGACATTGTGTAGTCTTGTAGGTTGGTACCTGTGATAATGTGCAGCCACCCAGGTTCCACAAGATTACCAGTGTCACAGCCCTGAAGATCCCAATCTGTCTACCAAATTGTTCCATTATTGTTCTGTTGTGAATATTGAAGATACTGGCTGTGTTATGTTTGATTATTTAATGCTTTCGGCATGAAGTATTACTTCTCTCGGCACCATTATCTGTTGACAGTAATAAATTGGATTTAAATGTTATAAACTGCATTAGCATTTCAGCTAAAAATATTCTGCAGAAATTATAGTTTTGAAAGTCTAAAAAATATATGTTTTCTCTATAATTCTGTCTTTTGTTCAAGGATTTTAAAACACTTTTACTGTAGTGTTATACAGACATGAGTCATTTATTTTTTGGCTCCAATTTCAGCCAAGATAGTTAGACAACAAAAGAGGGAAAGCGAGAATAAGCCTCACATAAAGCGGCCAATGAATGCATTCATGGTGTGGGCCAAGGATGAAAGGAGGAAGATTTTGAAAGCTTGTCCTGACATGCATAATTCCAACATTTCCAAAATACTTGGTAAGTGTTTTAATGTATACCATGCTGTAAATTTCACAGTAAAATAAAATTCTGTTTAGCTTTTGTTTGGCAATACCCTGCTCTGTTTTAATGGCATTTGCACATGGTCAAGCTGCTTTGAATACTAATGCCATTAGCTCTCACAAATTAAGTTAAAATCAGCTGCCAACTCATTATCAGAGGATTTACAATTTCCTGCTCATAAATAATAAGAAGTGTGTAATACTTCTTCTCCTTCCTCTTTAATTCTGGAAGGGAGAGAGAGGAGTAAATGAGGTGCAGGATTCTCAGAGCAGTGTCTACAGACTGCAGCATTCTGTGATGGTCTACAGTAAGCATGTTCCTCCAAAACATTGGTACCTCTCTACCAAACTACATGATGTCACAGAGTACTGTAACCATAATGGAGAAATGTCTGTAGAGAAATTTTTGTCATGATATAAAAATAAAGATTTAATAACCGAAAGTTTAGAACAAATTTAAAGTAAAAGTGTTTGGTTTTGCTACTATAATGGTTAAAATATGGGTCCTGTTTCTTGCAAATGCAATGAATACATCACTGTCTTCTAGGCTGTCATGTGAATTAGTTTTTTAGATCATTTTCTTAAGGATAAATATTCTGCACACTGCTCTCCATGTTCAATTTTGTTCATTCAATGCCCTGTCCTGGTCCTCATTCCAGTATCTATATCAGTTTGTTCCATGCTCAGCTTAAACTTTTGCTCTGAAGATGGAAGCAGCGTGATAAATTGCAGCTCTTCAAAATAAAAAAAAAATGACTTAGAAATACGTATAAAATTCAAGGAAATTAATTTCAGTGTGTTATAATTACAGGTGCTCGCTGGAAAGCCATGTCAAATTCAGAGAAGCAGCCATTCTATGAAGAGCAATCCCGGTTATCAAAGCTGCACATGGAGAAACATCCAGACTACAGGTATCGGCCTCGACCAAAGAGGACATGCATTGTGGATGGAAAGAAGATGAGAATCTCAGAGTACAAGTCGCTGATGCGACAACGTCGGCAAGAAATGAGGCAGCTCTGGTGTCGAGAAGGTGGTCCAGACATGAGTTTCCTCCCGCCGGATATGGCATCCCCTGGGACGTCTGGTTCAGGTCGCCCTTCTTCCCCATCCACCAATGGGGCTGGTCCCAGCTCCTCGGAACATTCAACTGGTGGTAGTGGTCCATTTTACTACTCTCCTGATAGTCTCTCTCCCACAGACGTGCTCAACTTCTCTCCGGACACGTCCATATCAATGGCATTTGATGGTAGTCCCAGTGGTAGGCATCATGACGATGACTGAATGTGTAGACTGGTTCCGGCAAGATGTCAAGATACACGGCTGTGCTGGCTCCCTCTGTTACCATCTTGGTGGAGAGGAGCATGTTAGTAAGTTTTAGTGTCATCCGACATCAAACATTATTATCAGGGCATAGCAAGATGCAGTAGAGACAGGGCAGTTTATGTTCTTCGTACCTTCCGGTAGTGTAGGTTATGTGTACACAGACTGACAGTAGTACAACATGGTCCTCAAATACGATATTTTAAAATGTAGGTATGTTTCTTCATATCTGAGATTACCAACGCTTCAATGATGACTACGAAGTTTACCATCTTCTTGGATGTGACTCCATGTGGCCTGGCAGATAGTTACCAGCATTTTAGATAAACCTCCTGCCTCTTATCTTCAGGATAGTTACCATGCTATGACTATGAAAAAGACTGTAATATTTGGTCGATTAATGCAAAAAGAAATACTACATAACATTTTGAACACAGTGTAAATAATGAAGAGTGCAGTCTTGTGTATTGTAACACCATGTAGTTTGTTGAGAGCTAAACATTGAGCATGTCTGTGCAGTGCAGTACAAGCTTGCTGCCTGCTTCTGCTTGTTTCTTCCTTGGCATACTACTCGACCCTGAAGGTGAAAGTGATATGCTCCTCCAAAACATCAAGCATTTTCTGAATTACATGGCATTACAACCTTAAAGACAGTGAGTGTTATGAGAACCTCATATTCAGCATAATATAAATATATTGCTTGTTTGCTTAGCATACCCGATAGAGGCAGTATTTTTCTTTAGAATGATGGTAAACTTCTACCAGATTACACAGTGTTGAATCCTGGAACACAGTACTTTCCTAAGCCATTTACATCACATAAATGCCATACCATAACTTCAGCAGTTATATTGTGGAACATCTTTGAGGGTGCATCTCTGATTTTGGTTTCAGTCATATGTTGAAAATAGACTCTAATAACATTTTAATGATATAATCTATGTCACAGACAATGACAGATCTTCAGAGATGTTTAGACACATTATGGTCAACTTCTCACTATGGAAGGTGTAAGTTAAATCCCAGGGTAGTCCTTGCAGTGGTGGATGAAGTGATAGTGTGGCATATTTTTCTCTTAAGTACTTTGAGTTTCCCCTTCCAGTTACCATTTCATAAATTCTCCATAACCATTTATCATTATGGGCTGGTAAAACAGACCCATTAAGTCCACAGCATCAAAGGTCTTGGACTTAACCACACTCCCACAGGCAACTGTATTACATCCGGTACTGAATGATGCTTATTGGTGCAGCAAAATGCATCCCTCATTACTATACATACACTTGCAACTTGTTATTGTAATTGCTGTTGATTCTCACGTATTTTTTAGTACTGTTAAGATCTTTTTACAGTGGTATGAACAATTATTTTGTAGTATTATTTTTAACATTGCCTAACATCCAAGGTTACTAAATCCACTATATTTTAGAAACTGATTCTGCTTCCTTCTTCAGGCAAACAGGACATGAAAGGAAATCTACTCTGTTGGGACCCTCTGTGAAGCTACTGTGGAATCATGGGATATGAGTAGCTGTATCGAGGAGCCTAGCTGAGCAAGATTTCTTATGTATTCATTTCACCAGAAGACAAAAATAGAATCAATTTCTGAAACATGGTAGTTTAGATAATCTTGTATGATGGACAGAGTCCAAAATAATAATTTTTAGTAAGAGTACTGCATGAAAAAATACAGATATCTTGTTAAAATATTTCTCTTTCTGCATCTTGCAAGCTTCAGGTATATAGTGTTGAGTTCCTGGTCGCCGGCAACATAGAATGAGTTAAATGCACTGCATAATGAGACTGCTGCAGCAATCAGAATGCTTTAAGCATTGTTTATGGAAACTGGAAGAGTGATTTATAAAATCAACATCACAGTGAAGAAAGATGCTTTGTGGTTGTAGTTGGGTGTAGTTTCACATTGAACTAAGCAGAAAACTTGATAACATTTATCTAAATTATTTATAACAATTTAAGCCATATTCAAATAGTGTTTGTGTGCCCCACAATTCTTTCACAGCAACATTTCTTGTGAAAGAAAGGAATTTGAACAACCATGGATCCCAACCTTGACTACTTACATCAAGGTTTCAAGAAAAATTGGTTCATACCATTCAGTTAAGATTTAGAAAAATTAAAAAAAAAAAAAGCGCTATCCTTAGGTTGTGATAAAAAATTGATGTGCCATGGTTTCCCATGGTGTGAAATTGAAAGGAAATTGTGCACTGAAAATAAAATGTTGATCCTTGTCTTTCGTAGAGCTTTCACTTACTTTTTGCTTTATAGCAATTTTATTTTTTATTTTTAATGCATTTCCATAATCATGTTATGGAGTTGTGTGTTTGAATTTAATTTCAAATATAAATTATTATAAACACTGTTACTAGCATGAGGCGTCTTCACCCTCATGGTATTGCTTCAAAGCAAAGTCTAAATTTCAGTCTTGACTCCAATTTCACACCAATTAAGTGTACCTTTTGTTATGTTTAGCAAATACAGTAATGCATTTGTTTGTTTGTTTGCTTGCTTGTTTGTTTATTGTTCACCTGTCACTGAACATACCCTGGAATAAATATTATTAAATGAGATGTTAGAAATTCATGGCAAAATATAGAAAGTTACTTTATTTGATCTCCATGGGATTAAGTTTGTCAAATTTAGGTGCATGTTTAAAGTAACCACAATCATTACATTTATGGAACTTTTCACACATCAAGTTGCTGGTTCTCTATATCTGCCTATGTCTTTTACAGCACAGAAAATTTATTTTTAATGCTTCTGTTCATTTTTTACAAAATCATCTTTTAAACGTTAATAAAATTATGTTTGTAAGTAAATCACTGTAAAAGAGAATTAGAAGATACACAGAATCCTCAACTTCATGCATCTAAATTTACTAATATTAACACTGAGAGGCTGGGACTTACAACACCCCCTTCATAAAGCTGTTTGCCCTGAGTTATATACTGAAATGTATCAGTGTAAGAAGTTTCCTTATTTCAGTTGCATTTGCTGTCTTCATAAGCATTTAAGAAGATTTCAGTCTAAGAGTATCAAAAGTGAAGTCCTAGATTTGGACAGCTTTGTATTGATGTTATTTTATATTAAGGAATTTGTTTTATCGCGCCGGCGCGATGTTGGTCTTTATGACACATTTGAAATTCTGGACTTGTATGCTATGAGGGAAGCTGGTTACAAAATGTATCTGTAGGGAATATAAGTGGAATATCTACCCAGTTGCAGGAAATAAGTGAATGTGTATAATATAGTTTTGTATGGACATGTTTTTTTCTTGACGGCAGTTTTCGACAACGTTAATTTCATTCGCATGCAATATTTTATTTTAAGTTATTTTTGTGGTGTATTATATTTGTAGTTATTATTATGATTATTAATTATTATTATTATTTATATCATGTTAGTGTAATCAAAATGTAGAAGTCAGCCACAAATGCAATACTCCACTACTTGTGTAAGATCATGCATTAATCATAGGATAGGCATGGGCATTGTCTTACACATCATTTGGTTTTTCAGTCTGCCATTAACTGAGATTGCATTTTTAGTATTACTTTACAATCATACAGGCTTGTTATAAGAATCAAAAATTTGTACAACTTGGACTGTGTATCAATATTTTGACTGAATTATCAATGTATGAAGTGGTATGTACCATCAGCATTGTCATGAAGCAGTGTATTCAAAATCAGAAGACTAAGAATTTGTTTCTGAAGTTCTCACAAAAGGTTATAAAAAAAAAAAGCAACCAACCAATAAATGCATAATTCAGCCTCCCAGTTAGTTTTTGTTTCCGTCACAAAGCCTTGATGCACTAAAAATTGTGATTTTTCTTGGGGGAAGGGTTCAGATGGCCAGTAGTACTTGAAGCATAATATACAAAACAAAAATTGCATATTATTTATTAACCTCAAACTGTGCTGATTGAATAACATGTTTCCATTCAAAATCTCGCGTGGTTTTTATCTTCATTATGGCATTTATTTTTCTCTTATTGTCATCTTTCTGCATTGTTAACTTTGCAAGAAATGTGACACCAGGTATTGTGAATGTTGGTAGGAATGGTGCTAATGTACTTATTATTGCTATTAATATTATTATTATTAATATTATTATTTTGCAAGATGTATCAGTCATTTTCATGAATGTTAAATAGAGATTCCAAAATTTTTGTCTGTGTAACTTAAAACTATAAATGGTTAGGTATTGTGATGCTACCTGGTGACTTTATTTTGTATGCAGACTTGAAAAGTTGCAATTCATTATTACTGTGTTACAAAATGGCGGAGAACTAATTAATTATTAGGGGTAAGTTGGAACTCGCAGAACATTGCCAGTCCATACAGAACCTTAAATATGTGATACGTGTACATAATATGTAAACCTTTGGTAGCTGCCATAGATATTGTTCTGTTTTGTGAATACTGTAGTGGGCTGCTAGCTCATGACTGGATGTTTCTGTACCATCAGTCTACTTAACATTTCCTGGAATATATGGGCTCATCTGTGTGCCAAATATAGGAATCAACTTGAAGATAATGTACAAATTCCAAAGAAGTGTGATTGTGAGTTTGTGTCAATATGTAGCTTCATAGATAAATGAAAAAATGTGTATAGAATAAGACAAAGTTTGTTCAGATTATTATGTGGTGTTGTGATGTAGAACAAGAAATCGATCCAAAAGCTCCCCCAGTAAATACAAATTTATGTTGGCCATATTTAAGTTTGTAAATGGTGGCATGATGAAAGCTGTGTCATTGTAAGTTTTGACTAGGAACAGATTGCCAGCCCTCGTGTATTTATGCATACAAAACTCACATGGAAAGTAAAAGTACGACCCGGTCCTGTAATATGGATAACAACATATGTTATTGTCTTCATGTAAAATTCATAGGTTAAATAAACAGATTTTCAAAATGTAGCCAAATCTTTGTGGCTACGCACCAGTATACAATTCATTATAATTCACTCCATTCACATACATTCACTCATTTCCTATACCAAGGTCAGAGAGCACCTCAGTTAATACACAAAGGAGTTCAACTGCAATATTTGATGACATAACATAAAGTACAGGTGAGTTTTGAATCAGTAACCTGCAGATTGTGCCCCATTCCACAAGGTGCACTTATGTGAGTGTTATTTGGAAAGAAACCTCTGATGAAGTGTTAACAAAACTAGCAGTGAGAAATGACATGTATTATACAAAAAAAGTACATACATACTTAAGCTCCTTTTCAATGTTGTCACCACCAGAACTGAGACATTTATCATGTCAGGGAATATGCTTTTGTATGCCTGTGTCAAAGAAGTCTGCCACCTGTATCGCAAAACACTAAAAGNCTGTGATCCCAACGAGCTGCTCTTCAGGTACGTAAAGAGGCGGTAGTCACTCAGATTGAGATCAGGGCTGTAAGAAGGGTGGTAGAACAATTCCCAGTTCAAATGCTCCAGCAGTACTTGAGTAGTGAGCAGGTGTATGTGGATGAACATGGTCATGGAAGAGCAACGGTGACTACATTGAGAAGTAGCTTAAATATATGTGTATTTTTTCAATGTAATATATTTTTTCTCGTTGTTTGTTTTGTTAACATCTAACCAGAGGTTACTCTCCAAATAGCCCTTGTAATATGTTCTGAGTACAACAGTGAACTTCCAGATTTCCAAAGAAGGCAGGGAATTTCTAGACCTGATAAATCACTATCATATTTTGACGAATAATCGTGCTCTGTGAATTTATTTAATTAAAGAACATTGTCTAGGAGATTTTACCAGTCTGTTTCAGCTTCAGAACTACTGATTGGTTTGTTGTGTGTTTAACAATTGCAATACAATACAATAAGAGAGAGAGGTAGTGAAAAGTACCAGTCTAGAAGACGTAACTGGATCCATGTTCTGTTTGCCTTCCACAAAATATACATTCGTGCACATTTACAATTATCCTACAAAACGTAATATTAACTTATTTATTATGTTGGTAATACTCTGATATCTAAACTTACATAGCTTGTAAGTTGGCGATCATGGAAGCGAGTCATAAAAACAAAAGCGTAGAATTATAAGAACTAGTTTTGTCGCTGTGAGTAATGTGAGCGAAGGAGTGATTATAATGGCCCGAGAATTGCGTGTGTGAATGTGCGTTTTCGTTCTTGCATTCCATTTTATAGTCTAATCAGTATGCAACATTGTTTTAAGTTCATGTGACGTATGCAAATTATTTTATATGGAAAGATGAACCAGTATATAGTGCGCATTGAATGAAGAAGCGGTGTTCATCATGGTTACGTTAACGCGCTTAGCAAGAGTGCTTCTACGTCGTAAGGTAGGTTAGAATAACCTTTCATGCGAGTTAAATAAACATTCGTTGTGTAAAGGTTATATAGGCAAGTAATGGTTTTATTGTTTTCCGGAGTGAATTTTTTTACTTTAAGTGAATGTGAAGTTTACACTTGTACGAGTGAATATTTAAAATGTATACATCTTACGCGCATTACCACTGTAGTAATGCATATTTATATAAGATTTTTTTAATCTTGTTAGAATGTATGGTGGACCGAATGCATTTTTATAAATTTCAGAGGCGTAACCAGCGTTTTGACCATTTTAGAAAAGGATTTTCCAAACAAAACTATAGTTCAAACTGATATGGCGCCTGAAAGATGTTAAGTGATTTTACTAATGATCATTAGGCATATTATATTTCTAAGCTTCCTAATACCAGTGTAGTCCTTCAGTTCTAAAATGGTTTATAAAATCTACGAAAGAAAGAATATGAAGCCATGGAAATTATTAATCAGCGCAGCTGGAAAGATCATCCTTGTTGGGTCATAGCAAAAAGGATAGTTTCATTCATAATATTGAGGATATGAGGTAGCATAACATAACATAACATAACATAACATAACATAACATAACATAACATAACATAACATAACATAACATAACATAACATAACATAACATAACATAACATAACATAACATAACATAACATAACATAACATAACATAACATAACATAACATAACATAACATAACATAACATAACATAACATAACATAACATAACATAACATAACATAACATAACATAACATAACATAACATAACATAACATAACATAACATAACATAACATAACATAACATAACATAACATAACATAACATAACATAACATAACATAACATAACATAACATAACATAACATAACATAACATAACATAACATAACATAACATAACATAACATAACATAACATAACATAACATAACATAACATAACATAACATAACATAACATAACATAACATAACATAACATAACATAACATAACATAACATAACATAACATAACATAACATAACATAACATAACATAACATAACATAACATAACATAACATAACATAACATAACATAACATAACATAACATAGCTACATGGTTTCACAGATCCATTGTCCGGAAACCGGACTGGATATTGAACTCGTCACAGCATTACTGTTATTATTTTTAATTTTATATATTTTATAGTAATTTAAATGGGGGATGTTTTAAACTTTTTGTTTACTTCATCAACAGTATTAACATATTCCGGTATTGAAAATTTAAAATTTCGTATTTTTAAAAAATATTCTATTTGAAAAGCAACATGAATCTTCACTTCCCTAGATGAAACTCATCAGTATAATAGTTTATAATCCTCTCATTCCTCCCTTACTGCTGTGTATGTTATGCTGTTACAGAGGAGAACCATTCTTCACTTCAGTCTGAGGTTCTCACAGTCATGATACCTGGGATATCATGATGTGTATTCCAGTGAAAGTCAGTTAATGGTTTGGAGCAACATATCGCCTCCATTGTTGCTGGTTTCTTGCTTGGCTTACTGTTTGACCATGAAGATGGTGGCAGTATGTTCCTCCAAAACAGCACCTGACTTTCATTAGGCTGCACAGTGTTGTATATCAGAAGAGAGAACTTCCTTCTTCACTTGTTCATGGTTTATATAGCAGCAGAAAAGTCAGTCAAAATCACGTTGCAACTGATGGTCAGTCAGTCTGTCTCCCGCTGGGGCTCAAGACCAGATGTGACATGTAGCAGCACTTTGAGCAGCTTATATTATGTAGTATCAGGTGATCAAAAGGATCTGGAAGGCCATCATGTTATTTACCTGGAGGGACTAAGGAAAACACTAAAGACCTCAGTAAGGATAGCTGGTACCAGACAAAGATTTCAATCTGCCCCCTTCAGCCCATTGTAAAACAAAAGTGCTGACCGCTTGACTATGAACTTCACTGGATTCTTCTTGAGAAACTAATGATTGGTCAGACAATAAGACACTCCTTACATTTTGTGGAAACCAGAGGTTCATGACTGTGTTCGCAAGATCCCATCACTGGACCATATACTGAGCCAGATCAATCCATTCCAGACCCCTACACCCTATTTCTTTAGAATCCAGTTTAATATTATCTACCCTTGTATGTTCTCTTCCAATACTACCATGAAATTGTAGTAATTTACGTTTTGAATATGAAAACTTGCTCGTTCAGATAAGGTTTATCAACACAGTTCTCCATCAGAGTGTGTCAAGTTCATGAAAATAATATTTAAAAATTTAGTTTGTTCCTCACAGAAAACACTACATCCACATTACAAGGAATAGCTGATTAATGCCATTCAGGGGAGTAATCAGTGTTTATTGCCTGTGGTTCTGTATGGGTGTCAAACTTGGTCTCTGACATTAAGGAAGGAACGTAGAAAACACTACATCCGCATTACAAGGAATAGCTGATTAATGCCATTCAGGGGAGTAATCAGTGTTTATTGCCTGTGGTTCTGTATGGGTGTCAAACTTGGTCTCTGACATTAAGGAAGGAACATAGACTGAGGGTGTTTGAGAACAGGGTGTTGAGAAAAATATTTGGACCGAAGAGAGATGAAGTGACAAGAGGTTGGAGAAAACTTCATAACGAGGAGCTTCATAACTTGTACTATTCTCCAAGTATAATTAGAATGAGCAAGTGAAGGAGGATGAGGTGGGCAGGGCATGTAGCATGAATGGGGGAGATGAATGCATATAGGATATTGGTGGGAAAACCAGAAGGAAGGAGTCCACTAGAAAGACAAAGATGTGGGTGGACAATACTAAAATGGATCTTAGAAAGATAGAAAGGGATGGTATGGATTGGATTCATCTGGCTCAGGCTAGGGACCAATGGAGCGATCTTGTGAACATGGTAATAAACCCTCGGGTTCCATAAAATGTTGGGAAGTTCTTGAGTAGCAACACAGTTGGTGGCTTCTCAAGAAGGGCTGCGCGCCATGAGTGAGTTCTGCCAAGTCTCACAGATTTTCCGCTGAATACGAGGTTTATCGGAAAGTTTCCGGACTAGATAAAAAAAGAAATGTTGGCTTAACGTACTAAATATTGGCCGCCGTTTCCTTCAAAATAGTATCCTTGGGAATGTATACAGCAATCCAGTCTTCTTTTTTTTGTCTCCACGCGTCAAAAACACCGTGGAAGTCATTTTCCTTGACGCTGTTGAGTACCGCTTGCGATTCCCTTTGGTTGTCAGACACTGTTCCGAAACGTCGTCCCTTCAGTTTCATTTTGAATTTGGGAAACAAAGCGAAATCATGGTGGGGGACTAAGTCCGGCGAGTAGGGAGGATGGGGAACGATAACCATGTTGTTGTTGTTGTTGTTAGTCACAACCTCTGTGGTTTTCAAGGGACGTGTGGGCCAGCACAGTGTCATGATGAAGGAGCCAGTTGTGGTTGCCCCAAAGTTCCGGTCTTTTTCGTCACACATTTTCTCACAAGCATCTCAAAATGTCACAGTAAAAGTCAGAGTTAACCGTAGTGTTAGGAGGAACAAATTCACCGCGAACAATCCCCTTCACGTCGAAAAAACAATGAATATGCGCTTTGTTGAACTCCGGATCTGTAGCGCCTTTTTTCTCTTGGTGATTGTGGGCTCTTCCACTGTGACAATTGTTGCTTTGCTTCTGAATCATAACTGTAAATCCAATTTTCGTCACCCGTTATGATCCTAGAGATAAAAGTCGGGTCCTTGTTAGCCTTTTCCCGTAGCTCAAGACACATGTTTACGCGCCGCTGCTTTTCAACATTTGTCAAGAGTCGAGGAACAGACTTCGCGGCAATGCGGCGCGTGTTCGAATTTTCTGTTAAGATCTGCTGACATTCTCCATAACTGATCCCAACGGTGTCTGCGAGCTCATGGATTGTTCGGCGACGGTCTTCGTGGATGAATTCTCGAATTTTTTCAACATGTTCTGTCGTTTTGGTGGTGCTTGGTCGCCCTGAACGTTCGCCATTTTTAGCTGGCACTCGACCAGCCTTGAAACGTGAATGCTGTTCGGCTTAAAGAATGTTTTCCAGAAGCCTCTCGAAGCATTTCAAGGGTTTCGTTAGCGGTTTTACCGAGCTTCACACAAAACTTGACGCCATCCATCGAAGACAAAAAGAATACGAAGTCGAAAAAGCACTCGTGTAACAACAATGCGTGCTAACAGCGCAGTGTCACGTGGCAGACTGATGCAATATGCTTTGTGGAAGTGTGACCTTGGCCTCCCATCTCATCTTTCACTGAGGCAGTTACAACAATAACATTCTGGGAACTTTCCTATAGCATCTCGTATGTGGATTGTTTTCTGAAGGAAATGATGTAATGACTACAGATGATCAGTAACGTTTCACAGAAACTGGGTATCCTTGACCAGGCTGAGATGACAGCCTTATTACGGTATATCAGCTTTACACCATACAGTGTTGCCGTTAACACCACACTTGAACCGTAATTAAACTAATGTATTAATTATGATGAATGCTGGCAGGAGAAGGGCAAGCCCCCACCCACACCTGGATTTTTATGTTGGAGGGGGGGGGGGAAATACCGAAATTGTAAAAGCAAAGAAGCATGCAAAATAGTGCATAAAAAATTGAATTTATTTTTTTAAATTCGTCCTCTACCATGGATGCTATAGAATCTTCTGTAAAAATAATTGTAAGCTGTATATATATATAAGTTTGGAAGAAGATTTCTGGCTGCCCCCACCCCCATCCCCCAAAGAGAAAAAATCCTGCCCAGGTCCATATTAGTTGCAGTTTATTTATGTATGATACGGCTTTAAACTGTAGTTTATTATTATCATTATATTAATGAAAAATAACTACTTAATGAGAAAGGCCAGCATGAAACAGGTTGGCATAGTTGTAATGCTGCTGGCCCCTGTTCAGGAGTTGCTCATGTTGAACCTTGCCCAGGACTCCAGGTATGATGGCTGAGGATTTCTGTGGCTTACCCCATCCCTCCCAGCGAATGCCAGGATAGTGTCCTCTGGTGTAGGTCACAATCACTTCCTTACAAATCCTTTTCAATTCATCATTTATCTGTTGTCCCACAAATCAAGACTGTATACCCTAGCTGCTGGCAGTGCAAAAAAAAAAAAGGTGAAACATATTTGGTGAACTGCACAGTTTGCATGTGTGCAATAAACACATGCATCACAAGGCAGATCTTTGTAGCTGTGGTATTTCTTCTTTTCTTAAACCATGTTTTTAATTCTGATAGTACACCATTCTGTTATCGTAGCTACATTTTGGGTGTAGTATTTTCCAAAAAAAAAAAAAAAAAAAAAAAAAGTCTTATTGACAAATTTCGTCTGTATTGAGTTTTCATGACAGTGAACATTCATGTGAGCTCCTGCATTATGACACCACTTTGTACCGTCATGGGTACCAACATTTCACAGGAACGTGGAACACCTCTGCTCTGAAGATGGAGGTGGTATGTTCCTCCGAAATGTTGGTACTCCCACCTATGAGACTACACAGTGTCATAACCCAGGTGATCTTCTGGTCCATGGTTTGAGAGTGGCTCTACTGAGGAACTAAGCAAAGTAGGTTTTCTGTCACATCATTCACATCAGACGAAGGAAATAAAGCCAGTTTCCAAACCACATTCAGTTTAAGTTGTGGACAGAATCCAAAATAATGGTTTGAAGCAGTGTGCCATACTATAATCAAAAACCTTTTATGTTTATTTTAAGTCAGTTATTTGAATCTCGTTATCAGGACTGTATAGCACTGGATGGTAGGATGTGTAATGAATGTGGATCAGTTGGTCAAATGAGAATTGGTGAGGGAAATCATGATAATTAGAGAAAACCTTCGCCACTGCTACTGCTGCTTTGACTGCCACAAGTTGTACATGATCTGACCTGGAATCAAACTAGGACTCATGTCTTTGAACTGAATTTATTATTGACTGTTTTGGGAATCAAGAATCAGTATGGTCTTTGCTTTCATTTTTTTTTCTTGGCACTACAGCCCCAGTGGGCCTAGGCCTACCTCCATGAACTCCAATCACTTCAGTTTTTCTAGATCTTACACATACGGTAGGACTCCTTGGGCGAGTGATCAGCAAGTTGCAAAGCCTCTACCTGTAGACAAACACAAAAAAACGCACACAAACATCCATGCCCTGAGTGGGATTCGAACCCACGATCCCGGCTTCCGAGCGAGCGAAGACAGTGCATGCCTTAGACCACTCGGCTACCGTGACCGGCCTTTGTTTTTTATCTGACTGAATACTTTGGCAGATGTGTTTACTACTCTGAAGTCACATCCTTTCGGATTTATGACTCATGAATGAAATCTGTAGTTTCTTTGCAGACATGTTGCCACCTATAAGGTCAAACCGGCTCTTTCGTTTTCAAATGAAGTACAAAATACATTTAAGGTATGTAATAGCAAATTTGAAGAAAGATTACAGAAATAGAACTCATTTCAAAATATGTAAATTTTGAAAGTTATATTGCATGCTGGAAGCATATTTTGCACCGAAGCGATGGTCTCCATTTCATGCGATTGCAGAACATATGTTTGGAACAGTTTGCAGATTTGTCTGTACACCTTGCCTCTCCTGAGCAACTGCAGCAGAAGCCAGAAGTAACAGCTCTTCAATTTGGGAAGCATTTCACAGATCACATGTTGAAAATTCTGTACCATGAATCTCTTGGGGGCTGGCAGAGGCCTGAGATTCTTCCATTTGAAAATATAGTGCTTCACCCAGCCGCCAAAGTTTTGCATTATGCAACTGAGGTAAGTTCATTATGCCGGTGGCATGGTTATTTATTTATGGTTTTATATAATGACTGCCTCTGTGGTCTAGTGGTCAGAGTTCCTGCCTACAGATCCAGAGGTCTTGGTTCGATTCCCAGCGCTACCAGTTTTCCCGAGAAGTAATGGGTCTGGAACGGGGTCTACTCAGTCTTGTGAGGATAATTGAGGAGCTACTTGAATGGAAAAGTAGCAGCTCCAGGTCTAAAAACATGAGATTATCGGCCGTGGGGATCTGTTGCGCTGATCACGCGACACCCCCTATCTGCTAAAGTTGGCACTAACTTCACCGGCAAGCAGCACAGTTACTTGGATGGTATAGTTCGCTTGTGGACCAAAACCACGGAGTTTTTTATATAATGATGGAGCCGAGATAGTGCAGTCGGTATAGTGACTGGCTACAGGCTGGACAACCAAGGGGTCAGAGTTCGAGGGGCAAGAATTTTCTCTTCTCCACAGCATCCAGACCAGCTCTTGGGGCCACCCGGCCTCCCATCCAATGGCTACCGAGGGCTCTTTCCTGGAAGTAATGTGTCTGGGGCGTGAAGCTGATCACTCACCTCCAACTAGTGCCGAGGACAAGAAAATGTGGATCTATACATCCAGTCCCCCATATGCCTTAATGATGTAGTGCTTAATTAGTTGACCACAAGGACAGCTTTACCTTTACATTTATGTAATGTTGCCTTCAGTAGATTAGACTGTAGATCATCAAATGATGAGACAATTAATGAAGAACATCATTTCGTCCTCTCAGGTGTGATTCTGCATAGTCTGGTATGAAGATGCCCCCTGTGTTCTAGACGAATCTGCTTAGCTCACTGTCTCACTGACATAATTAAAGAAAATACTGAAAATGAAGATCACATCCAAAAACCATTGCAATGCTTGCATATTGTTTTAGCAGCCCTGGCAGCATAATATCTCTCGGGTACTGTCTCTTCGGTCGGGGCGGTAGGAGGCAGGAAGCAGAAGAAGCTGAACAGATACATTCTTATATATATCAGGAGTGATAGATGTTCTGTGAGTTTCTCTTTGACATTTTTTTTTTTGACAGTAACTTTGACAGTAGTGCAGACAAGTCTCTCTCATTTTTATATTCCTCCCTCTCTTGTTTGTTGCATAAATGTCAGCATCTATTCATTTCTGGGTATGTAATCTATCAACAAAACTGGAAGTTAAACTTTTGGATATTTGCCACGTCTGCAGGAATAGAAGTTACGTATTGGATGTTTGCCATGCCTGCAGAACTGGAATCTGAATTCTTAGATATGAAGATGCAGCAGTCTGATAATTCTTATTTATGTTATTAGAAGAGACAGCATTGTGGACATATGAAATACGGCTCTATATAAATATTAATTAAAATTTTCTCCAATGAGGAACACTCTTTAAATCACCCAGCATTTTCCAGAATGTTAAATAGGAGGTCATCATATATAAAGAGACAGCTTGAAACCAACAAAATGTATTGCATTATTTCAACCTTATTAGTGATTGGAATGATGAAATATTTTCATCTACACTGAACACTGGAAATTACATCATCTTTATCCGTTCCAGTATAAAACCTCTTGAAGCATGTCACAGATATTACAAAACAGGGCTTCCAACACTTCTTTTTCCTTTTGGTTGTTTAGAAGTTTCCTTTTGGAAGGGGGCCTGTTCCATCTCGTATTGTCAGTATTCTTTGCAGTTTGTTATGTATTCTGTAAATTCTGTTGTCTGTGGAATTGTAGTTCTCTCACAGTTAGGGGTAACTGTACAGACTGTTTTTATATAAATACAGGATAGTGTTTTAGATAAAAACAGAATGCTGGGTAATGTCTAGAAATATAATATTTGTATTAATGTACCATCTTCACAAACTTTTATATCTTGTTTTACAGTTGAATTTGAATGTACGTGTGGGGTTATCAACAGTAGTCCATCTCTGTGTTACATATATGAGGGTTGGAACTTTAATAGTGGCAACACTGCTGTAGAGATGCCATGCAGTGGAACCAAATAATGTCACTTATACCACACGTTAGTTACATACCTACCTTACCTTAGAGCAAATGGACCCTCCCTTCCCACATCACACGCATGCACAGTGACGAGAAGAACAGAGCCTCGTGTTAGCTGGCAGTCTAATGTAGTGTAGTCACGGTGTTTTCGTAGCAGGAACAACAGAGTTAGATAAAGATTGAATGTGCCAGAGGCCGTACAGCACGACAGTGTCATCAAGGTCTTCAAGAGGCTTGTGGGGAATCTGCATTGCCTTACAGAACAGTGGCAAGGTGGGTAAAAGCCTTCAACGAGGGATGCCACAATGTGGCAGACATGCATCGGCCAGGTCATCCTAGTGTCAGTGAAGAAGAAGTGTATGCTCTTTCCGCGTTCCTGGAGAGTGATTGACACCATACAATTCATGAGGTGGCCTGAGAGACAGGATTAACGCATACGACTTTGCTTCGCATTCTGAAGGAACGCCTGGGCATGAGAAAAATTGCATCACGATGGGTTCTGCATAATTTGATGGAAATGCAGAAATGGCTATGGTATGATGCTGCTAGTAACCACTTGGAGTGCTAAGAGTGCTAAGGAGAGCCTTTCTTATGCTGTATCATTACGCCGGATGAGACATGGGCCAAATTGGATGAGCCACAAATGAAACGCCAATCGAACGTCATTATGGGTCACCACGAAATTCAAAAGTTCGTCAGAACCCCAGCATTGTGAAAGTTGTGGTGATTCTCATGTACGACTGTGATGGTGTTATCCTAACGCATACCATTCCCAGACAGCAGACCATCAGTGTACATTATTACTGTTAATTTTTGGAACACAACCTGTGACCAGCTTTGAGAAAGAAGCAGCAACACTTTCTACAGAACCTGCCCATCATTTTGCAGGACAATGTTCGGCTGCATGCAGCGCAAACTGTGGCTGATTTGTTTGATAGATGGGACTGGGAAGTGCTGTACCATCCACTATACTCCCCAGAGCCCTTGTGACTTTGACTTGATTCCTAAGATGAAGGAACCACTTGGTGGCATTCGCTTCAGAACTGTTCCAGAGATTCTTCAGGCAGTAGACGGCTCCATTCGAACTGTCAACACAACAGGCACTGCTAAAGGTATCCTATGACTTCCACATTGCTGGCAACGGGTTGTACACAATGCTGGTGACTACGTTGAAGGACAGTAAAACTTTGAAACGTGCATCTATTTTGTATCAGTTGTAAATAAATATTTGCTAATATTAAAGTTCCAACCCTCATACTTTTCAATTTTATAGGTTATAATTCCCTGTATGTGTCTGCTCTTTGGTTCTAGGCAAATGAAAGGGTTAAAAGTGCTGCTGTGTAAAGAACCTCATTTAAATTAGTTACTGTGATGCTGTGATCTCCTAAATAATACACAAATTTATGTGCCCCTCACTCTGTCAGTCAGTAAATGTGCAGTTCTGCACACTGTTGCAGGTCCCTCTCAGGCTGTAAGGTGGCAACAGGAACCTAAATAGCTTTACAGCCTCTCTACACCTACAGCAAGCTATAAAATGCTCCTAGTCAGTCATGAAAAGCTCAGTTCTGCACATTGTTGCAGGTCCCTGTCAGGCTGGTGACAGCAGGAACCTAAACATCTTTACAGCCTCTCTACACCTACAGCAAGCTATAAAATGCTCCTAGTCAGTCATGAAAAGCTCAGTTCTGCACATTGTTGCAGGTCCCTGTCAGGCTGGTGACAGCAGGAACCTAAACATCTTTACAGCCTCTCTACACCTACAGTAAGCTATAAAATGTTTCTGTACAGTCACGAAAAGTCCAGTTCTGCACACTGTTGCACATCCCTGTCAGGCTGTATGGTGACAGCAGGAACCTAAATAGCTTTACAGCCTCTCTACAGCTACAGTAAACTATAAAATGTTCTTGGAGTCAAAAAATTTATAAAATTTTTACCAGCTGGAGATGAATTTTCTGAAGCACCTATAATCTGACTTGACTTGCAAACTGTGTATGTATGCATTCGTATTTTAAATAACTCTAGGGAACTTGGCAACCCGCTAAAAGTAGATCATGACCCCCCTGGTGGATCACAACCCACAATTTGATAAACCATTTTATAATATGTATTAGTCATGTATCAGTTAAGTAATAGTGATTGTAATTGTGGAATTGCAGCTGTTTGAAGGTATGAAAGCATACCGTGGTGTGGACGGAAAGATAAGGATATTTCGGCCAGAAAAGAACATGGAACGCATGAATCAGTCAGCTCTTCGAGCTGGCCTTCCTACATTTGATGGCGAGAACTTCATCAAGTGCCTCTGTCAGCTTCTGAGTATAGAGCAGGAATGGGTCCCACATTCTGAGTCATCCAGCCTTTACATCCGCCCGACTCTTATTGGTATTGATGTAAGTATACTTCATCTCCTTGAGATACTGCACTGCATTCGATGTTTGGATTGTGATATTTGGGGTTTGAGTGTGTAGTAGGAGGAATTAGATCAGTTATAAGCTGAGATTAAGGGCTGTGGGAATCCGTTGCACTGACCACACGACACCCTCTATCCGCAAAAGTTGGCACTAACTTCGCCGACAAGCGGCGGTCGCTCGGTCGGTATAGTTTGCTTGTGGACTAAATGTCACAGAGCAAAAAAATAAACAATTTGATTTGTTTCAGTCTGGTCCGTCACACTAACAATTACAAAGACAAAACAACTCCGTCCAGTGTGACTATTTAAGTTTTTACTACTTGAAAACTTAGCACCCTTACATGTTTCGGTCCTTATGGACCATCATCAGAGGGACCATCGATACTTTTTTGGAAACTACTATCATGATGGTTGTTCTGAGTGCTAAATTACATACACACACAATTCCTGCAATGCACAATATACACAAAATCCAACACAGCATGCCATGAACAAACACAGGACGATACCAAGAATCTCCTCCTCAAGATAGACAGGCGGCACAAGTTCAACCCCAATCAAGAAGGACGATAGGAGAAGGGACACAAACCTACTTGGTTTATAAATTTTAACTTAAACAACAAAGTTTTAAAAACTTTAATATACCAGGAAAGCTGCTGTACTTGTGGAAAAGTTGGATTTTGTGTATACTGTGCATTGCAGGCATTGTGTATGTATGTATTTTAGCACTCACAACAACCATCGTGATAGTAGTTTCCAAAAAAGTATCGATGGTCCCTCTGATGATGGTCCATAAGGACCGAAACATGTAAGGGTGCCAAGTTTTCAAGTAGTAAATCTTAAATAGTCACACTGGACAGAGTTGTTTTGTCTTTGTAAGATAAACAGAAGTTACAAGAAAAGTTGTCATGAGACTCAGGGAGAAAAGGGCCAGAGAAGGGGGTCTGATCTCAGCCAATGGGAAAGATCAGTAAACTTTTTTTGTAACATGCTGACATAATGGAGCAAGTTTCTGAACTTACACACTCCAGCCCTAAAGATGGAGGCAGCAAGTTCCTCTGGAGCATCTCTGCATGCAAGGCTACATAGTGGCACAACTCAGGTGACCATAATCTGAATAATCGCTGTCATGAAAACCCAAAAACTTATGCAGCCAGTGTGTCAGTGCTTTTATCATGTTAATGATTTTTAAGCTTCCATACACAGATTAACTTTATACATAAATGAGATTACTGTAATTTAAAGTAACTTATTATTGAAGTTACTAAGACCACAAGATGTTCTGTGTGTCACATATTGCTAGTTGCGTGGTTTGTGTGAGTTTTGGGTTTGTGCTTCATACTGCATTCTGCGAGTATTTTTGAAAATATTTTTAGGAGACTAATTTGAATGTATGAGTAGTCTGGCTGCAGAACCCAAAGGAGCAATGCCATTATTTAATGCCAAAGCCTGCCATCAAACACCATCCTGAGGCAATTCCATCTGTCTGCCATCCTCACAGCTTACTTCCATAGAGCCTTCTAATTGTTATTCTCCAGTTGTTTCTCAGTTTTTGAAATGGCTGTTACATAAGGGGTTACCTCACAGTTTTGTATGTACATGGTGTTCCTAAAAGAATGGTGGGGTTTTAGATACGTATATATTTCGTATTTCTTACCATGTACAATCATAACGTGTGTCAATCAGAAGCTTAACTGTCCAAATTTTATGTACATCCATCAAAGTGCCTCTATGTGCACACCTTTCGTTACCCGGTACACATCAGTGCGATAGTCAAATTCCTGCCACACCTGCTGCAGCATTTCAGGTGTGATGGTCTCCACAGCACGATTGATTCTGTTTCGGAGATCCTGGTGTGATTGGGGCAATGGGGGTACATAAACCATGTCCACATACCCCCGCAGGCAATTCTCTGCTTCCTCTATGTAATGATTTTCTTGGGCTTCTCTGATACGTCTCCCTCACTCTTTCCACGTCTGCATGTGGCACACGTGGCCGCCCAGAACTCTTGCCTTTACACAGACATCCACTGTCCACAAACTGCCAGTACCATCTGCGAATGTTGTTTTCATATGGTGCCTCCTTCTGAAAACGTACACAAAATTCACGGCTCACTGTAATGATGGATTTAGACACCTCAAATCTCAGCACGCAATAGGCCTTCTCCTGCTGGGTCGCCATCTTACATTTCACGCCTCTTAACTGTCGGAAATGGAACGAGGAAAGAGCGCGATATACAAAATGAAAATTTGAGAGCCGCATTATGAGTCCATATACGTTTTGCTTTTTATTACCAAAAACTGACGGAGATATATGGCCATGAAACCCCACCATTCTTTTAGGAACACCCGGTATTCCTGCCTTCTCCTGCTGGGTCGCCATCTTACATTTCACGCCTCTTAACTGTCGGAAATGGAACGAGGAAAGAGCGCGATATACAAAATGAAAATTTGAGAGCCACATTATGAGTCCATATACGTTTTGCTTTTTATCACCAAAAACTGACGGAGATATATGGCCATGAAACCCCACCATTCTTTTAGGAACACCCGGTATTCCTGATCTTCTGTATTCTGATTACATTCAAGTTGTTTAATGGTTCTACATGCAATTATAATTTGTTTTTGATGAAGATGAAAGTGTTTTTTAAGCATTTTTCTTTTCTGAATAAATAAATAATTCACTCAGCCATTAGTAATGCATGAATGTCCAAGTTTCTATTTTGTTGTTCCTGTTCACCTTCATTAACCATTTGAAGCATGAATTTTATCTAAAAAATACCTTAAAATATGGTTTCAGTGATTGAGGTTAGCTTTTTATAAAAAAGCCAATAGGATAGGTGACTCCCATCCCCTTGCCTAAGGATGGAAACAGATCCAGTTTCAAAAACATTGTGTTCTTTGGAGTGCTGGATGATGGACGAAGTCCAAAATCCCTGTAATCCTGAGTATTTTCTACACTATTGTCAGAACCATTTATAATATACTTTTGACGTATATTCAGGTGGTGTGTAGTTCAGATCTTAGCCACTTACTCTTCTGATTGTAATTCTGCATGCCTGTCCCCCAGCGCAACATCATGTCAGTGCTATGAGAACTTCAGGTTTCAGCAAGGGTTAGACTTGTCCTATATCATGTAACAATGATCTATAGAGATGAAATAAATAAATAAATATGTAAAATAAATAAATAAATAAATAGATACCAGTCTCTTGAAAAACTCAACTTGGTTATTGTGTGTTAGGAATCACCATGCCCCCCCCCCNGAATGTGTTCTTCTCCATTGCATGTTTAATCCATCTCATGTTCCAGCTTCGTGTGTTTTGTGACTTCTCACATCCATTTGGGTTATGCTTAAAGCCTGTAATGGAATGTGAAATTTATCCATTTTTTCTAAATGTTGCTTCCATTTTGTTCTGTATTCCACAGTTTTTTCCTGAAGAAGACAAATATGCTGTTAGAATTTTATTCCAATGCTCTCTTGATGTATTCCATGTTTTGGTGTCATTTAAAAGCACTGGAAGTTCAGAACATTTTGAAACTTCATATTTGATTCTAGAAACTTGTCCTAAACCTTTAACATATTTCAGTAAATTTATATTCGTATGTTTCAGTTAAATTTTGTATTCATATGTATTATGGCCAATTCTAAAATATGATAATGCGTTGGTGTTTCCATTTCGTCATGGGACTTTTTTTTTTTTTACTTGTGACGTGGATTGCTGTACTAGATAGGGTTCAGGGTCATGTCAGGCTATCAGTTTGAGGTTAAAACATAATGTACGTAATGATTACAACAGTCTTGTACAGCCAGGCTCATGCATTTTGATAAGTATTTAGAAGGGCTAAAAATTGGCAACTAGAACTGGCTTTTCTGCCTTTATCACCGTATAATTAAAAATTTGTTCTTGGAAAGGGAAAGATTACACTCAGTTATGAATTTCCAACACTAGTTTCTGTGCTATAAAATGTAGCCTCTGACTTTTTGTTCTGACACTGCAAATCTGATCTCTTTTTACATGGGATAGCAGATAGGCTTCTGGTCAACCAGATTCCTGTTAGGGTCAAAGGATTTGTCTCATCTCTACAGTGTCCAGAAAAGCTCTGGGCCCACCCAGCTTTCTATCCAGTAGTACAGGGGTTCTTTCCCAAGGCATGAAATTGACCACTCCCCTCCATCTATTGCCAAGCTTAAGAGTGCATATGCCATATGCCATTATGGTGAAAATGCTTCATTGAGCATGGATAACTTTATAACTTCAGTGTTTTCTTTTTCAGTAATCTTGTACTCTTTTTAAACAGGAGTCGAGCTCAGTTGGTATAGCAACGGGCTACAGACTGGACAGCCCGGGTTTGATTCCCGGCTGTGCAAGATTTATCTTGTCTCCACAGCATCCATACTGGCTCTGGGGCCCACCCATCCTCCTCTCCAGTGGGTACTGGTGGAACTTTTATCTCGTGGTAAAGCAGCAGGGGCGTGAAGCTGACCATTCACCTCCATATAGTGCTGAGGTTGAGAAAGGTGGAGCTGTACATCCACTCGTCCATATTGTCACATGTCAGAATGGCACTGTCGATGTGGTTTTTTGGACTGGATATTGGATTTAATGATCACTTGTATGCACAACTCGGAACTACAAGTTATTACAGCGCCATCGCTAATCTCCACAATTTAAAAAATACCACAGCACAAATTAAGCCTTTTCCAGCCTGCTGTGTCCTCACTGGCCGTTCCCTGGTAATGGCTTCTAAGAATGGAGGCTCTTTAGCTTTCATGCTCATGTCCTTTCTGAATTGTGACTTGATTCCAACTGACTCCTTTCTTCACAGACTCCCATACAGAACTGACTTGGTTGCCCTAGTTGTCTTCCTTATAACTTCTTGGCATGTCACCCAACAATGGGTTGTATAACCCAATTTATTAAGAATCTGCTGCCCCAGCACAGGACGTGAATCTGTTGTCTGTTTCGGGCCTGTTGCCTAGAAATGAACGTGGTTTCAGAACCATTTACTAACAATGGCTGTCTCTCTGGCTCTGTGGTTCTTGCTTGGAGCAAATATGCCACAGTGTCTTCATCTAATTAAGCATGTGGACAACTTTACTTTTTTTAAAAGCAATATATTACTTACTGCTTCAAAAGTAGGGGATTGTAAAATTTTCAATATACCAGTACAACTTTCTCCTTTACAGTCCTCCTCAAGAAGGAACTAGAAATGTTTTCTGAAAGATTGGAACTGATAGTTAACAGGCTTTTAAATTGTCTGCATTTCTTGACTTTGTTTGTAGATAACGACATTATTGTGCCATCTTGTTTATGCTGAGATACTGTTTACTGATAGCCATTTTTAACTGATGTCACAACCCGGGGATTATAGAAGGATTAAATTGACACAGTGATGCGAGAAATGTAGAAATTCATGTAGTATAAACATTTCACGGGTGGTTGACTAAGAATCATGCTATAAAATAGCTAGATATATATAGCATATTACTTTGAATATAAGACGTCCTCAAATGTAAAACATGTATAGTGTTTGAATGTGGGTTTTGGGGGAAAAAATTAGATAGGTGCACACTCCTGATTTAAGTCGCCGCATTTTTCAATAAGTACAGTTGTGTTAAATGTACTTGTTATGCTTGAAGTAATATTGAGTGTGTACAGGGGTTGGGCAAAATAATGGAAACACTACCGATACTGTACAAATTTCTTTACTAATATGTTGTCAGACCTGCCTTCAGTGCAGCTGCAGACAAGTATGAACTGTCTCTAGCAGAATTTTGTGCCCTTCAATATCTTCGGAATAAGTAGATGAGCTGATATAGTTCAGTCAGTGTAGGGTCTAGGCTGTCAGCTAGATGATTGGAGAATTTGAATTCCTGGTAACAGCAGAAGTTCTCTGTTCTTCACTGCATCCATATGCACACAATCCCATGTGGCCCTGTGTAACATATTTTTGGGAAATTTCATATGGGTACCTAATTCACACCTCCTCCTAAACCCATTATCATCAGTTTCTTGCACATACAGAATAACATGAACCATTCTGACAAACAGTCTGACAATGTACATCTTGTACGCTGAAGATGGATTAGCCAGAATAGCGTAGTTGGTATAGTGAATGGCTATTGGCTGGATGACTGAGAGGTCAGAGTTCGAGTCTCGGTAGAGTCAAGAATTTTCTGTTCTCCATATCATCCAGACCAGCTCTGAGGTCCACCCAATCTCCTGTACAATGGGTATCAGGGCTCTTTCACTTGGGGTAAAGCAGCCGGGGCGTGAAGCTTACCACACACCTCCAACTAGTGCCAAGGTCAAAATGTGGGTCTATACATCCACTTCCCATACGCCTTCATGGCATAGTGCTTAATTAGTTAAGTACTCTGAAGATGCAAGCAGCAGGTTCTTTTGAAATGTTGGTACCTGTGTACTAGTTTACATGGTGTTACATCCTAGAAGATGGTAAGCTTAACACTCACCACTGTTACATGCTCTAGCCTGATAATCTAGCATCATGACCTTGTTTTAGATTACTGTATGTTGTGACCAGTATGTAATTGGTTGCATATCTCATAGTTTTGTTCCACCTTCTCAGCCATCATTGGGCGTGGCACAGTGTGCATCAGCGTTGCTGTATACGATCCTGTGCCCAGTTGGTTCCTACTTCTCTGGTACAGGTGAGGCTGCAGTATCGTTGCTGGCTGACCCTCGATTCACGCGTTCGTGGCCGGGTGGTTGTGGAGACAAGAAGATGGGTTCCAACTACGCTCCAACAATACACGTTCAGGTGATAACACAAAGTGCTCTATAAGAAATTTTTTAAAGAAACAAGGTGTGAGACTAGATTTGATTCAGTTGGCTCAAATAGGGTCCAGTGTTGTGCTCTCCTGAACATGGTATTTGAACCTCAGGATTCCGTAAAGGGTGGAGGTATTTCTGAAACCAGCTGAGCAAGTATTAACTTCTCAAGAATGCCTCTTGTCCATGGAGTTACCACATTGTAGACTTACTAATAGTGCAGGAGAAATTTCATTATTTCTCTCTCCTTCATCACTGAACAGTAGGTTTTGGTATTTGTGAACTTCTGAGGTGAGAGCAACATTTTTGTTACTAAATATAGGGCCCAAAAATGATTTATAGTTATAGATCCCCAATAAATACACAACTTCTGTTGAGCCAATTATTATGTACAATGTAAAACCATGTCCTCATGGCCCACCAGCCTTCTCATTTAGCCTTTTGCGAAAGGTAAGGTGAAACAAAATTTTCCACATGTGTAATTAATTAAGCACCATGCAATGAAGACCTGAGGGAGTGGAGGTATAGCTCAATTTTTGATTGCGACACTAGATGGAAGTAAGTGGTCAGCTTTGTGCCCCTGCCATCTTACCCCTGGGGGAACAGCCCCTGGTACCTATTGGAGGGGAGACTGGTTGGGCCCCAGAGCCAGTGTGGATGCTATACAGAAGAGAAAAATCTTACCCCTGCCAGAAATCGAACCCTGAGTATCCAGCCCATAGCCTGTTGCTATACCAGCTGAGTCATCTTGGTTCTTTAGCTTTAAGTATGACATTGAAAAATAATGAACCATTGAACTACAAGTACGGAATTTTGGGTGATTGTCAATCATGAAGATTCTTTCAACGAATTATGAATGAATTAATTACAAATGTGACTACTATGTGAAACTTCGACGTTATCTTGGACAGATTTTTAAAGTGATCAGAATGTGTACTCAGATTGTAAGTTGGATTATAACCTTATATTACGTAAGTAATATCAACGCAGAATTTGTAGGACTGAGAGGTCTCTGCAGTGGGGAAGTGGGCTTCATGATTTCTGCTCAGAGCTCATGTTTTTGAGTCTGTGTGTGTTATTTTATAAGTATATATTAACCTTTTAAAATCCAGTGGTTGCTATATGTACCATCTGCTTTAAGTTATGAAAAGATTTGCCACACAGTGTGTTTATGTGTTGCATTTGGTTCTCACAATAAACAGCAATCATTTTTCTAAACAGCATTAACCGGTTGGGCTTTGTAGCGGAGATGTAATGTATTTCCTGTGAGGTACGGACTGAATTGCTATATATTCTGCCCACACAGTGTATCTGCGTGTTCCGTATGGTTCTCACAGTAAACAGCGACTGTTTCCCTAAACAGCATTAACCGGTTGGGCTTTGTAGCGGAGATATAATGTGTTTCCTGTGAGGTACGGACTAAATTGCTATATATTCTGCCCACACAGTGTATTTGTATGTTCCATATGGTTCTCACAGTAAACAGTGACTGTTTCCCTAAACAGAATTAACCTGTTGGTCTTTATGATGGAGACACAGTGTATTTTCTGCGAAGTAAAACCTGAATTTTTAAGCCTATTAGTATAGTGACTATGAAGAATGCCATCTTCTAGGATGTGGCGCCATGTAATTATTTTGTTAACTGACGTTTAGGAGGAACGTATCGCCTCCATCTTCAGGGTATATGAAATTCGCGAGCGATGAACCAGCATGAGCAGGTGTCTGTAGACTTGAGTGCCAGTCAAGACACCCTGGGTGTCTTATACCCTGAAGATGGGGGCGATACGTTCCTCAGAAACGTTAGTTAAAATATCTACACAGTGCCACGTCCCATAAGATGGCATTCTTCATAGTCACCGCCTTGAAAACCTCAAATCTTACTTAGTATAGTGACTGATTACAGGCTCAGTTCTGGGTGTGGGCAGAGATTTTTCTTGTCACCACTGTGTGTAGGCTGGTTCTGGGGTACATGCAACCTCCTACCTGGTGAGGACCAGGGACTGTTTCCCTGAGCATGAAACTAATCACACACCTCCAGCTGGTCCTGAGCTTACTGAAGTAGAGGGCAATTTGACCTTCAAGATAAATTTCTGACCTAAGTGCAGTAAACCCTCACTAAACTGGTTACAGTTAATCCGGATATCGGATAATCTGGATCACAATCTGAAAAATGAAAAATGCTGTTCACAGTTTAGTAAATACTTTAAAAGACACATAACATTTAGGAAGACAGATGAGTCGCTTGTCTGTTCAGACGAAACTTGACAGTCTCTTCAAACATGCCTCATAACTTTAAAAAACAAGGGTCTTCTATCGATGAATAAATGTATTGTCTTTTTATAATTTTTAAATAAAGGCTCTAAAGTGATAGTTTGTTATTTATTTTCATCAGCACTGCTTATATCATTAAATTTTCCATTTTATGTGCTGTAATGTCTTTGTCTTTTATGGCTACTGTTTGCTTCACTAATCCAGATGACCTCTTCTCCCCCCAGTTAAACAGGATTAGCAAGTGTTTACTGTAGTTAATTGTCTTTATTATTGGACACAGCAAGAAGCCCTGGGCCAAGGACTCCAGCAAGTCCTCTGGCTGTACAGTGATGACCACCTGATCACCGAGGTTGGCACCATGAATATTTTCATGTTCTGTATCAACGACAGTGGAGGTAATGTTTCTGCTATTAGTGAAAGTATTTGTTGGAACATTTCATTAGTGTGGTGATTCACTTCAAACAGTGAAAAAACATGAGTCTCTTTGAAATCTAAAAGTTGTGTCTATGGAATATCAATACAATTATTGACTTTTTGGACATTTTTCTCTGTCCACTTTTAAATAAAAACATGACAATGGCTAATGGTCAGAAAATGTCAATAGTTGTACGAGTCTCTTTATTTGCTTGTGAATAGTAATTAATGATGTCAAAACTATTGGAATAGATTTTCACTTTCCAGTTTCAGATTAGTCTGTTCTGTATTTCCCAATATTTCTGTGAGCAATATATCAATTGTTGAAAATTCCACATAGAAAGTGTATAAATAATTACTTAGTCATACAGGCATTGACAAATACTGTACAGTTGAGCCTCC